CCATTCACAACTTAACACCAGCCAGGCGAGAAGAAGAGCAATCTGATCTTGGCTAATGTATAAATTCCTCTGCAGAGCAAGATTTTAGTTTTTCCAAACTAATTTGCTTTATTGTACTTTTATGGGCTTGCAGTATCAATACTTGTTTATGTTATGTGGTTTGTTTTGAAGTTTTTATGTAATATAAGGCAGTTTATTCCTAGATAATGTTGAGAATATCCAGTCTGTGTAAAGGCTATACTTCATTTAAACGTGAAAGGTCTTGATGAAAAGTAATAGTATTTTATTTCTATAAACCCTGTTATCTTACTTTTTCATAAATGAATATATTTCTTGATTTAAGTTGTAGTTATTTTAGTATAACTGATACTTTGAGCTTGCCTCTTTTTTTTTTAGGAAAAGTTGAACCACATGCTTGAGCCTTTTAACTCTGTGATTTCTTATGTGAGATTTATATCATAAGCCATAGCTAATTCTGTGTGTTTTGAGATTATTTTGATGAAATGTAGTGATGTGTATTATCTGCATATGTAATTGAAAGGAACACAAGCAAACCTACTATTTTACGTGGCCTTTGCAGTGCTTAGCACAGGGCTACAGAGGACCCACACACACAGTGACAGTCATAAGGGATCTGGAGCCAAAAGACCTGGGTTTGAGGTCTCATTCCACCACTACTCACTTTGTGCCAGTGGGCAAACTTCTTAACTTCTCTGTGCTTCAGAGTTCTTATCTATAAAAGGAGGATAATAATGTATTATCATTACCTCAGAGGGTTATTCTAAGATAATGTATAATGAATCCCTTTGTAAACCATTAAGCTCCATAGAAATATAAATAACTAAAGTTATTGGTGTTCTTTGAAAGTACCACGTATCCCGTTGCTGCAGAAATGTTTGGATTTACATTTATGTCCTTAACCATTTTGTAGCTTGTTTAGTGATCTCAAGTAATTTTGTTATTTTTTTCTTCCCACAGAGCATATCATGTCCCAAGTGGGAAAATATTAGCTGTAAAGGTAAGCACTGGATACATTTTATGAAATTCTTGATGCTCACCACTTTCCTTTCGTCTGTTAGCTGGAGTCACAGGTATCGTCAGAGAGGAGATGAAATGCTTTAAGGTGTGGATGGTAGGTAGGAGAAGCTGTGGCCCTGGGGTGACATTCAGATACCTGAAAATATTTTAAGGATGCCTTAAAATGGTCATTTGTAAGGTCCTGGCATTGTAATTCTTCTCACCAAGAAGAGAACACTTCCTTCTGTGTTTCCTGCTAAGTGGCATCACTGTCTTCCTAGTCATGCAGCTCAAAACCTTTGTAGTCATACATTTCTTTTCCTCCTTTATATGCCACATCCTGTAAATTGCCATATCTTGTTAGAAATTTTCCCTGAAATGTATCCATTTGTCTCTTTCTATTCTCATCCCCATTGCCGTGGCCTTGGATCAGGCTCACATTACCCACAGCTGGACTTTTGAAATAACTTCTTCACTATACTTTCAGCCTTTTTCTTTCCTCATGTACCTTTTAAGAAGTGGAATCACATCTGACCGTGCAACTGTCTTGCCCACCCCCATCCTCAGTTGTGTACAACATAAAGCCCAAGATGTCTGCTGCGCTTCTGACTCTTCATGGTGTCCTGAAATACCCAAGCAGCACCCCTACCAATAGAGTCATGCTACACATAACTCAGTGATGTTCTAGACAGTTGCCTGAGATGCTGCTTACGTGTTCCAATCGTGTTCATAATCCATACCCCATCTCTGCCAAACTGCAAGATCTCAGTCCTGCCATGCCACTCGTATTTAATCTCTGCCACTGGCTGCTGGTACTTGATCTCCGCATCATCTTTAATCTCAGATTTCCCTCATGGACTTTGTCTTGGATTGCACCTCTGACTGGACCCTTCAGTACCTCCATTCCTAACCCCACAGAACTTTACTTACAACACTGCGCTCAGCTAACAGACTGGTCAGGCCTGCTTTGTTCCCTGCCCTCCCCACAAATTGGTCAAGCCCTCCACATTTTGGCCCCCACCTGCCATTACAGACACACCCTCTGCTTTACCAGTCTGTTATGCCCTTCATCTTCAGTCTCTGGGACTTTAGTAATGAAAGCTTTTATTTTTTGAGTGACTACTGTATAGCAGGTATTATGCTAGGTATTATATAACTATTATCTTTAATCCTTAAAACTACAAAGTAAGCCTGTCTATTTTAAATTTGAAGAAACTGAGACTCAAAAAGCTGAATTGTCCAAATTCACACTGTTGGAAAAGGCAGAGCCAGGATTTAAAATGAAGTCCGTCTAACTCCAAAGCCCATGTCCTCTACTACACCGTGCAGCCTTTACCCTGCTACTGCTTATCTCTCTGATTTCCACCTATCTTTTTAAGGTTCATCTCCAAGATGCCTTCTTAGCTATTCACAGTGATTAATTTATTCTCTTTCCATAGTATATATTTCTGCATCTTTTTTCTTATCTAGGAAATGAAAAATAACAGCAATGAAATTACAATTGGTTATACTTTTAGTACGGTTAGAGAAAAACTAAGGCTCAGATCCTCTGACTGCTAGTGCAATCCAGAGTTCTTCCATATCACACCTAATACAGCACCTAGAATGTGTTATGTGGCATTATCAAGTCTAGTTTTTATAACTTAAATAGCTTGTGGTGAGGAGGTACAACAGAGCTCCCTTTGGGATGTTTTCTTTGACACTTCAGCCAAACTAGCTCTTTAGAATTGTAGAACTGGAAGAGACCGTAGAGATCATCTGTTGTATCCCCTACATTTTACAGAGAAGGAAACTGAGGTCCAGAGAGTTTGTAAGGTAGGCACTCTAGAGGCAAGACTCCATCCCAGTCTTTCTCTGAGCTTACCAAGTGCGGTTCTGTTATACCACCGTAGCATTCACAGAGTGCAGCTCTATTGTACCACCTCGATGCTTGCCGAGTGTAGCTCTGTTTTACCACCTTGGTGCTCACCTAGCGCTGCCCTTTTGTACCACCTGGGCATTGCGTTGTCTTTTCTATACCTCCCGAGCTCCCTTTTCACTGAGAGAACACCTCCACTAACTTGAGCACTATTTTCCTATCTATTGAGTTACTTGTTTGTTCCTTTGATGTGAAAAATCTTAGATTGTTGCTGATGATATATTTATTTAAAGACAGTCAACTCTTGGTTATTTATTCTAAGAGAGGGACGTGCTGCTACAAATTATCCAAAAAGCTATCATTATTTGGCCTTGCAAGTACATTATTAATTTTTCATGATTTCATATATTTTGAATTATGTTTAATGTAGGCTAATATTAAATTCTTGTGCTTGTGTACCTAGTTGGGTATAGCAAGGGGCCAACAATTGTTTCTGGAAAGGATTAAAGGCAATTTTAAAGAAAGGACATATTTATAAAATAGCTATTAAAGTAGAGACTTTGGCAAATGAAAATAGTCGAGGTTTACAAATATACTGTTTACTAGACTTGACATTAAACTGGGCTTTAGAGCAAGGACTGTCTCATATCCTTAGAGTCTGTAAAATCACATATTAGATGCTTAAACAGAGAGAAATGATTTAAGAATAGGTATGATTATTGTGATTAAACTTTTTGTTTAGCCCAGAGCTTCTCGGTAGCCTAGGCAAAAATTGTGTAGCTTATGTAACAGTTATAATCTAAGAAAAAGAAATGTACTATTTCTTCAAAACAGGCAGAATATTTCATTAAATGTTAGAAGTGTGTCATTTAGTTTCCAAATATTTGGGGATTTTTGAGATATCTTTCTGTTAATGATTTCTAATTTAATTCTATTGTGGTCAAAGAACACACTTTCTTTAATTGGAATTGTTTTAAATTTATTGAGACTTACTTTATGCCCCAGAATATGCTCTATCTTGGTAAATGTTCCCTCAGCACATGAAAAGAATGTATAGTCCATTGTGTAGGCTGTTGTATAAATGTCAGTTAGATCAAGTTTGCTCATAGTATTCTTCAGATCTTCTGTATCTTTACTGATTTTTATCTACTTGTTCTGTCAATTATTGAAAGAGGGGTGTTAAAATCTCCAACAACAATTGTGGCTTACCCTTCTATTATTTTTTACTTCATGGTTTTTGGAGATGTATTCTCTAAGTGCATTTAGAGTTGTTATGTCCTCTTGATGAATCTTTATGAAGTGATCCTCTTTATCCATAGTAATATTACTTGCTCTGAAATTTATACTGTCTGATATTAATATAGGCATGTAAGCCTTATTTTGACCAGTGTTAGCATGATATAGCCTTTCACTTTTAACCTATTGTGTCTTTATATTTGAAATAGATTTCTTGTACATAGCATATAGTTGAGTCTTGCTTTTTAATCTAATCTGATGATCTTTGCTTTTTAATTGGGGTGTTGAGACCATTTACATTTCAACTGATTATTGATATGTTTTAATTCAAATCTGTCATTTTGCTGTTTATTTTCTGTTCTGTCTGTATGCTATGCCCTTGTTTTCAGTGGTTGCTTTAGAGTTTATGTTATACATTTTTAACTTATCATAGTCTCCCTATGTAAATCATATTGTACTACTTTATCTATAGTCTAAGAACCTAACAATAGTGTATTTTCAGTTCCCTCATCTCAGCCTTTGTGTTATTATCATACATTTTACATCCTCATATGTTATATACCCCAAAATACGTTATTACTGTTTTTGCTTTAGATAGTTATTTATCCTTTAAAGACATTTAAGTGGTAAGAAAAGCTGTATTTTATACTTATCCATGTATTTACCGATTACAGTGCTCCTCATTTGTTTGTGTAATTCAGATTTCCATCTGGTATTATTTTCCTTCTGTCTGAAGAGCTTCCTTCCTTTTATATTCCTTATAGTGCAGGTTTCTTGATGATGAATTCTTTCAGCTTTCATAAATCTGAAAAAGTGTATATTTCACTTCCATTTTGGAAGA